ACAGATATAAATTCATAACTAGTATTCACTCTAGAAACAAACGCTTTTTATATTTTGTTGACAGAGGTTTTGTGAAAAAATCGTTAACTACCGAAAATCGTGGTGCTATTTTTGTTTTTTTTTTTGAAAATCTTAGTGTCAAATTGATTTTATTTACTCAAAAGCACCCAACATTCTTAAGAATAAATAAACAGTACTTGTAGTAATACGCTTACTAATAATTATTGATGCAATTATAAAACACTAAAATAGTAATCTGTATTTGTGTTTAAAATTATTCATATATATCACCCGTTTTAATTATATTTTATATATGTACACACATACATAAATACATACACACACTTTTGTATGGGTATATATTTATTTATGTATGTAAGTGTAATGTGTGTGTGTGTTTCAGTGTTTGTGTACACGAAATATACAGTTTAATTTATAATAGCATTAAAATTGATTTAAGTAAGGGATAGATTCAAATCTAATGATTTACTAATATAAATAAGAACTCAATCATATATATCATAAATGTGACATTTTTAAAATACAATATAAAGTGCAATATGCAATTTTTTACATTTAAACAATAATATTTTTTTACTACTGATATAATAAATTAATGGTACTAATTTCCAGGACTCGCAAATTAAGCATTTTTTAGCTTTGGATAGACTAGATTTACAATGCATTTATATGCAAGCGTCCCCCTAAATTTAATTTTACAAGCAGTACCATGAATAAATTGTCCAAAGCAATAAAACAACTTGCGGGTCAGGAAAACTAGCCCTAAATCGCATTTCGAAAATCGTTCGGATAGTTGAATTCAAAAACCAACAAAATATTTGCAAATCTAACTCATTTACAAATGCATTTGAAATAAAAGTTACCTTTAGTTAATATAATTTTTGTTTCGAATTTTTTAGCTATTTGTGAAAAAAATATTTTGAGAAAAAAACGTGAATTTGAAAATTAAGACAGCAAAATAAAAGCTAAGACAAACAATATTTATTATTAACTTCTCGAAAAAAATATTTTTTGCTCAAACTAAAATTTGTTCAAATATGTGATATTTTATTTGCCTGAATCTCCAGAGTAATAAAATAAAAATTAGATTGGAAAATTAAGTCAGCAACCCCTGGCGATCAGCTTTCATTCCATTGAAATGCGAGATAGCCACCCCTGGATTTGATTTCAGTATAAAATGTAAAGGTGATTTTAATACGAGGGGCACTGACAAGTTTAATAAATACATTTGTTTACATTTGCTCATATTTTTTCGTCACAAATTTTCGTGCAGCTTTTCACGACGTAGTACTTGTTAAATGTAAAATTTGTTACATTGCACTTTGTATATCGTATTTATTGTAATTTACATGACAATAATAAAATATTCAGTATTTTTTACATATTAGTTTGTTTAACTTTTTTTAGCAATCTGGCCACAGCTGATAAGATACTGATCTACACATCAAATGTAGATCGTAACATCCAACTCTTATCATCTCTGTGGTTAAATTGATAAAAAGCACTAATGCTTTAAAATTTTTTTTCATTATTACGCGATAGTTAAACAACAACAAAACAATAGAGTTTATGTTTAACAACGTATGCAAACACATTCTTATATCACAAAACAATTTATTCATTTTTCATGGCTAAACGCATATATCAATACAGCTTGGATATTATTTGCCCAGTTTACTTTTAATTTAGTGATATAAGTATATATTTGTATTAAGTAATAAAACGCATAATTTCAAGAAATATACAATGCATACCGATTGAACCACACGCTTTTTGTAACATATTATTTTTTCACAGCATGAGTGTTTTGCTAATTGAAGAGCCAATTCACACATAAAATAGATACGTATGGTAATTCTAACACTATTGGGCCGATTCTGCCTCACAACAGACCAATGTTATGGCAAGGCCATATTATGCTCGAACTTGCTACTGAATCATACTGAATACTGTCAAAATCTTATGTATTTGCTGTGCATTTAGGCGTTTTACACATAAACTGCAACGTTACTCGTATGTAATGAAGCTGAGTCAGAAAGACCCTGTTACCTTACATCGTTTTTTTTATATTTGTGCGGTTTCTAGGTTAGGTTTTCTATTTGACAAACTGAGCAAAACGCCTGACTGGTGAGAACGCACAGCAACCAAATGGCTTCCATCAATAAATAGAACAAATTAGTATAGAAAATTCTTCATAATATTGCCTTGCCATAACGTTGGTCTGTTATGCAGCAGAATCGGTCCACATGTTACGAGTTTATCTTCATATGAATTGGTAGTGATAAACTGTAAAAAAGCTATATATTTGCTATGCGATCAGGCGTTTCACCCATAAAACCTAACCTACAAACCGCGCAAACGTCAAATAACAATTTTATCATAAGTGCATCTTTCTAATGGGCCCAATTCTCCAATATAATAGAAATGTAAAACTGTCAAAATGCTATGTATTTGCTGTGCAGTCAGGCGTTTTAGATATAAAACCTTTAGATATAAAAACAATGTTATTATAACTGCACCTTTCTGCTGTGTCATTGATAACACATACGTGAGGTTAGATTTTATGTGTAAAACACCTCACCGCACAGCAAATACAAATGTTGACAGTTTTTACTACCAATTCAGACAAAGTTGGGTCCATAACATAGTTGTCATAAAATTACTATTTTATGGAAAAATTGGCTCCTGAATGAACGCTGAATTATTAAATGTACAAAATTCTATATAATAAAAGCTATACATTTCATAAACTTCTCGAAAATGGCTCGAGATAATAAGAAAATTATTTATGGCTCAAAATAAAATCGGTTCAAATAAATGATTTTTTTAATTTGCCTGAATAACCAAAATAATATGATAATGATAAAAATAAAAGGAACTAAAACGGAAATTTTTGGCTAATTTTACATATCGATGTCGCAATATTTTGGCCTAAAAAAACGTATAAATCAGAATACTCAGCTTCAGACTTCAAATATTGTTTTTAGTATTGTTACATTAATTTTTGTAATTCCATGTGAGCCCATTCTATTAAATGTAATACAGAAAGCTCGATCACGAATTGGTCAATCCTTTGTGTATAAACATTACAAATATCTGCAATAAATGCATAAATAATTTAAAAAAGATGTCTTTGTAACCCACGATTTTCTGTCCTGTGAAACCATCCATTATATTCTTAAATAACAAATTTTAATGAAATGAAAATTAATATTTGTGTGATAATAGACAAGAAAATGATAATATGATAATATTGGCCAATTAAATGCGGTCAGATCATTTTTGAATATTTAATTTATTTCAGATTAACCCCGATATCGAACAGTAACGATATCAATTTTTACTTGTAAATTCAGATCTTAAATATGTTTTCAAGTGAAATTAGCCTTGCTTGGGCATTGATGCATTAATTGAATAAAATCAGCCCCATTAAATAAATTCTAATAATAAAATAATCAAATAGGATGGATCAACCGTTGGATTACCCTCTAAAAATATGATGTAAGGAAAAGTTTTAGCCCAACAACTTATAGGAAGTAAGGTTTAGATTGCTGTTAAAATATAAATGAAAATACAAATAAAAAAAATGTTTCAGACAAACGTGCATGCAATTTTTTCACAAAAAACGAGTTTAGACGTATGGTTATGGGTATCTCTTTTACAGACATTTTTGGATAATTGTTTTCAAATGTAACAAATTTGATGTGTAAATCATCTTTTATAAGATTGCTTTGAAAGCAACAGACAAATATTAAGTTTATCCGCATAAATTTGATAAACATGGTAATGAACTATAACCAAATTGCATAATATAAAAGTTACAGCATGTGGTACAGTCGGTATTGCATTTATATGAATATAATATGATTTTATGTTAGTAATTCATTTAATAAGAATCTAGAAATGTATATATATATATATATATATATATATATATATATATTGTAACGTTTGCACTAAAACATCGATTGGTTTTATGATTTGAATATTCACAGTAAGTAAATAGTAGACAGCTTTGGCTCATTAGGTAATCGTAGCTTAATAAATAATATTTTTTCAAATTCAAAAATGAATAATTGAAAGTTTTAATAAACATCTGATTTTGCGAAACATCACTGCAATCGATACACTAATAATTACACTATTTAGCTTGATCAATAACGCTCGGGATTGGCGGGTCTCTTTTCGAAACGTATTTTGTTATAATTACACAATTTTCTTAAAATAATTAAGCCACTATAAATATTGTATCACTCCTTTGGTTAAAATAAATTCCGAAAAGCATAAAGCGCATGTTTAACACGTCTTCAACCCCAATCCCAGTCGCTGCCCTTCGGCTGCCGAAATTGTCAAAGCTATCTCCCATTAACTTGTATCATAAATTTTATCATTACCCTATGCATCACCGTATTATATAACAATAGGTAATAAATATAAATGTTATCATTTTGTCAAAATTCACTTTTTTTTCAACGTTTTTAAGTTTTGAGGTTAGTTGCTAAGGCACACAGCATTAACATATGAATATTGGATAACACCCGACAACCGTACACGGCACATAATATAATAAATACGTTTGTACTGAGGTGTTATGCTAATATGCATATGCTTTAATATAATATATCAGCAATAACCACTATATAAGTGCAAAGATTGTTTTTTTTGTTGTTTCTTAAATATGTAAACTAAATGAGAAAGTATAAATTTATAAAGTTTGTACTTCATGTTTGGAAATAGGAACAATTATTTTGTACGTGAAACTCATTCGTAATGAAGCCTCTTGTGACTAGGGCTTTATTGCTATTCTAATAAATAATAAATAAATATAGTTATTTGGAATAAAATATATATTATATTACAAACTAGTTATGTTTATTTGATTGAGGTAGTTTTTAATTTTACATTTTTATTTATTTAATAAGTCTATATTTGTATATAACTACACAATAAACAATTTGTTGAACACCTTCAATTGTAGTTGCGGAAGGACTTATTAAGGGAAACGGCCGGTTTGTGGAATGTTTGGTTTTGTTGTTGTACTGACTTCCCTGAGTAGATTAATTAATTATTTCATCACATGATTATTCAAAATACAATGTTTACTAGATGGATATGAATAGTGGAATAATATGAATTCGAGGCGGCGTCGCCCTCTCTAATGATTTCGAGACGTAGTTAACACTTGGGTACTATATGTGAAGCCAAATTTATAAAATACATCACATGTATGCATCTTACTTGCGCATACATGCATATTGAGAATATATAGGAACTTTGAATCCAATCACCTAATTAGATTATCTATATATATATAAATATAAGTCTATAACGTTTTTCTAGATATTTCGAAATCTAATAATGAATTCGAAAACGAAAACTTAACGGATTTATATAAAATTCACTCAGTCTATCCGTTAATTTATGACATAAAAAAATATTTAAGAGACAATTGTTCTCCCTTTGAATATAATTTCGACCGATAAAAATTTGTATATAAATTAAATATTCTCAAGCGATACAAACTTTTGCGTAATTATTTCATAATGTTTCAAATAAATAAATCACAGTATTCTCCTAACTATTTTATAAATAATAAATATATTAGTTTTCGCGAAAAGTTCCGGAACCGAACATGTCTTTGTCGTACCGGAATGAACTGACCTCTATGCAGGAAGTGAGCCGATGCAAATGTCGGAAAGATGGCGATCGTCGACCTACTGCGCCGACGTCTAGATTGGCGTCAGGCTGAAGGTGACGCTCAGTTTGTTGTTGATCTTTTCTGCTACCGGCAAATAGATGACAGCCGGCAAGATGCCGTGCTCAGGATCTTCGTTCTCGACAGGAAACTGCTCCAGCACGAACGGCTGCATCTCGTACCGCGCATCAGGTCCGCGCGGCTCGGGAAGGGCGTACGACGAGACCAGGTTGTGTCTCCGGGCAACGTCGCGCAGGAATCGCTTCACGTCCGCATTACCTTGATCGGCCGCATTGGCCGCATTGGCCGCATTCGCGTTCGCGTTTGCATTCGTATTTGCGTTTGCGTTCGCGTTCGCGTTTGTGTTCGCATTTGCGTTTGCGTTTGCATTTGAGTTTACCGGCACTGGCGTCTGGTTCGAAATGTGCGATCGCTCGTGAACAAAAAGCAGTGCGAGAATGGGTGAACTGAAATCGCAGAAATTGCAACGATACGTTTTGCTTGGTCCGCCATCGAAGATATTTGTCGCAACGCTCGCTTGAAACGAATCCGGCTCGCGCGTTTCCGTGCCATGGTCGTTGAGCAGATGCGAACGCAACCACTTGCTTCCCCGGAAACGTCTACCGCATAAGGGACACATGTCTGTATCTTGTTCATTTTTTGGTAAGCTATCAGACATTCTACGCTCTTTATCCGGCGAACGTTCCGCCTCTTTTGCGGACTCAGAAGCTTCTGGCATTGATGCATATTGTGACATCTGTTCCGGTGGTGTAAATTGTGTGGGAAATCCCAAGTTTCCCGGAAATAAAGAAGCGCTCTGGTTTAAGTTCGTCGCGCTCATGCCGTCCTCAAATATACCATGCGTGTTCTGTTTATGCACTTTTAAAAAATACTTACTACATAATTCTTTTTGGCAAATATCGCAAATAACACCGCCGATTTTAAACTCATTGTTAATTTGAATTCCATGCATTTTCTCCATATGCGTTTTCATGAAATATTTATTGCATAACTGTTTGTTGCATATTTCGCAGAAACTATTCATAATATTAAAGTTTTTCTGTGATAAATTAGGTGTGCCAATGGATTGTGAAGCATTAAGTGGTTGTTTATCTGGAGTTCTCTGATTGGGTTCGCATCCCTGCATAAACATGTCAGCTCTCTTGAAATCGTGATAATTCATAGCTTCCTCCTTTATTACTGTATTGTCATCCATATTACCACAATTGTCTTCTCGCGCATGTGATGACAAACCATTAGTTTCATCTTTTATTTTGCCATAGCCAATCATTGCATTTGGATCTTTATTTTGCAAATTATTTAACTGTAAAATCATAGTTTGAATTTTCTGTAAATTTTTACATAAATCTTGGGAATTCGATGAGACAGGTGAATCGCTTTCATTTGAAGCGGGATCACTCTCCATAAATGTATCATTTTCATTTGTGGTTAAAGATCCATGTTTAGATTTTGCATCCATAATCAGGTTTAAAGGACTCGTTTGCGATTGCAAATCGTTCTGCTGATTTTCTTCTTTAATCGGTCCACCGGGCGTGTCATCAGTAAGTAAGATACCATGACGTTTTAATTTGTGAGTTCTTAAAAAATATTTATTACAATATTCTTTGCAACAAATTTCACAAAAAGCTTCTGGGTCTAAAATGCCCAATTTCTTTAAATAATCTGGTGCAAATCCTGCACTACGCGCCATTCGACACGACTCTGGAGACAGTTTTCGCGGAAACGTCGTCTGTGACTGATTTGTAGTATCCGAATTAATAATGACAGATGGAATGGATGTAACTGGCGTTGCCTGGGGTGGTGGAAGAGGTTGCGCTTCTAGTGGAGGAGATGTTTGTCCATGTTCTTCTATAGTGTGGCGACGCAGTGCAAGAGCTTTTGAAAACTTTTTTGGGCATATACTACATGCCAATTCTGCATTTCCTTCGCCTGTCGGTGATGGAACCGTGCTATCTTCACTTGGCACAGAACATTTTGTCGTAAAATAATTAGGATCCAGTAATGATTCTGGTTTAATTGGTCTCATAGATGCGCCAAAGGCTTGTGCATCTGTATTATTTTCATAAATGCCATGTTTATTGGCTTTGTGCGTTTTCAGGAAATACTTATTGCAAAACTCCTTATGGCATAAATTACAATAAGCCTCAGGATTAAATATTCTTATTGGCGGAGATGAAGGTAAACCAGGAAGAAATGGCAGAAACCCGTTTTTGGATAAGAATTGTGATTTTTGCAAAAGATGCCCGCCGTCAGGAAATATATTAAATGGCAGCATAGGTAACCAATCTTCTCGTTCGTGAGGCATTAATCCGCGCTCTTGATCGGCCATCTGTATATCTTTCGGTTCCACATTTTCACCTTGCTCGGGTTCTTCCCCGTTGCTTTTTTGGTCAACATATTCCTTGTTTTCAAATTCAAACAAATTAGATACGCGGATTGGCGTAGCTTGCTTTCTGCGCTTTTTACTTTCCAGAAGCGGCGTGCCAGGCTGCAGCAGCGGCGAAGGGCACACGGGCCGCTTATTGTTGAAGTAAGAGGCGGCGGCTTCTTGGGCGAGCATCTCGGCAATTTCTGCGTTTGGCGGACTTTGTTGGTCGTTCAAGAGCAATGCAGATGAGGGACCCTCTGGATGATCCAATCTTGATGATTCTTGTGTTAAATCTGTCTCGACGTTTGTATCGGACATAATTCTGAAAGAAAAAACATAATACAATTAGCTAGTCATAATTAACTACATACATATATTAAATATGAGTAAGTTCTTGTGGGGCGATACATCAAAGAATGAAAAGCAAAGATTTATAAATTAATCTTTAATTCCAAACGTTTCGACATTCAATTTAATGTCATCATCAGTGGATATTAACGTTGGTAGGTTACATCTAGAGAAGTGTACACGACACTAGAAATTAGCACTAACATTTATACAACTAACTTGTCAACACCATGATTTTTTTATAATTTTTCGTATGATGTAAACAGAAAAATGATAGTTTTATTTGAACAAAAATGTGAATAAAGTTAAGTAATTTCTGCCAACGACTTCTGTACTGTCCGTACTGTACTGTTGACAGTATAGAAGTCGGGGAGTATAGAAGAGGGGCTTAAATATCTGTAAGGTCCACCACCGACATTAAAAAAAAAACAGAAATGTAAAGAATTTTTTTGAAGAAACGATATATAAAACTAAATGAAAAACGATGCATAACCAGCCATCACCTTGACTCTTACGACGTTGCTATCGGGAGAAAAACGGCAATGTTTCAAAATCTATAACAAAGGTATTTGCTTTTGTTGTTAATTTTTTTGTTTTTTAACTTATGAGAGCTTTATATAATTTTCAAGTAAATGTTATTTACACGTTTCATAGTATGTATTGTTAATTTTAAGTTAGATGCAACATTTTTTTATATAGCTTCTATAATAGGTTTACCTAACCTTTATCTTGTAAAAGATGTAAAAAATAGAAAATAGAAAATAATAAAGTAAATTAAGTTAAAAAAAGCAACTAAGATAAATTAAATAAAATAAATTCTGCTGATGGATATTTCTGACAAAATACCAGATCAAGGTTATTTACAGTGTTATCTCTGCAAAAAATGTATCCATAAAATTTATATTTTGCATGAATTGAATAATGTAGCTATTATTTTGTAAAATCTTTTTAAAATCAAAATGGGACAATAAACCTGTTTGCTCTCAGGCCAACCTAGTTTACCCAGCATATGAATATAGAAAGAGCCAGAATACATTTTTTAAAAAAATAGCACAAAAAACACATTTGTACAATGATGAAGGAGTTTTACTGAACATAGTCAGATAGTTGTTAGTTTGATATATGTTATTTTTTTATATAATTGGTTTAGTTTTCACAATTTAATTGCTCAAAGTCAAATTGAACCTGTGTGGCCCGCCATGAAGACGCCATGAAGCCTTCGCCCGGAACTCTATTTGTGAATCAAGCTGGCCGAAGCCGTACGTGAGCCATTGATGAATTCGAATGTGGAGCCTTTCATAATAGCAATCGGCTTAAGTAATTAAATAAATATCTAATTGCAAGTGAAAATGATTGAAAAGAACGATTTTCATCTGATGCCGGCATATATATTCAGCATGTGTTTTCGGTCATTCCCTAAATTTGCCCACATCGTCGTACGATGACAATACGAGAGGTGACCGCCTGTCGATCTCGTGCTGGGAAATGATGTATGAGCCTTCGGGGCGTTCGGCTCGTTCGGGGGTTGCAAGCGCGTGCAGTGCGCGATCGCCCAGCCACAGGAGTCACAGTACCGAACTCGTGCAATTCGGGTACTTGTTTCTTTTAATAGATTTATTTATTCAGTAAATTTAATTTGGCTTTTGTTATATTGTTTTTCATTTACTCATTGATTTAATATACAGTAAAGGTTCCTTATTCGCGCTTTTCTCATTTGCGTTTTCGCTATTCGAGGCCAAAAACATTGCGAACTAATTTCTATATTCGCGGCTAAAAATTTCGATATTCGCAAAACCCAAAATCCTTCTGTAAATGCCGTCATTTTGAAGTAATAAAGAAAACTTTGACATAAGCCGCCTCCGTTGTCTTGGCCGTCTTCGCCGCTATCGGCGTTTTTGAGAATGTAAACTAATAGAATGAAAACAACCATATTTATTAGTTACTAGCTGACCCGGCAGACGTTGTTTTGCTAAGTAAGGTATATTCTAAACAATTTCTACAGAATCAAAAAAAAAATAATACTTTAAGTGTATAAGGATGTGTTGTATGAATGCTATATACAATGATGCATTATTAAAACAATAAACCCCATTAGTTTATCTATATTTTGTTAATTCAATCAAACTGGAAGTTTTATGTAGAAAACATGGTATAATTCATATATCCAAGTCTTTTTTGGTCTTTTTGGTCTTTCAACTTTTTGATTACGTTTCAAGTTTTTCAGATTCTTTTTGGATTTGGGATATAATTATAAATTGGTGTATAATTATAAATAATACTAAATAAAATTTTCAAATATCTGCGAGGAGATATAGAAAGTGAATTAAGTATTAATTCTTTGACCTGCATGTTTCAAGTAACATTCGATGAATTTAAGTAAATTTAATGAAAAGTATAAATGTAAAGCAGGGCTTGGCACAAAGGTCTAATTTGACTTTGAGCAAATATAAACTATATTATGAAAAGCAAACCAATTATATCACAACAAATAGCACATTTCAAACGAACAATTATCTGACTACGTTCAGTAAAACTGCCAGCTACTTCATCATTGTAAAAATGTGCTTTTTTTGCTGTCTCTCAAAAAATTGTTATGTGGACCTTTTTACCCCATAGACAGGGTAACTTGGAACGGCCAGGTGGCAAACAGGTTTAATGTCTAATTTTAATTTTAAAAGTATTTTACAAAATAATTACACTTTTAACTAATGCTAAAAAACTACCAACGGAAGAAAATACTTTTATTATGGATTTTCAGAGATTACAGTTTATCTCCAGATAGCAAAGTCATAAGAATCAAGATTATAGCTGGTTATACAACTTTTTTGTTACCTCTACTTTTCAGTTTCTTGTTAAACAATGCTTAACTTTACTGATTTTTTACGCATCGCTGGTGGACCTTTTTAACCCCAGACCTTCATATATTACTATCTATTCTTCTACATGTTATTAGGCAAAATGTCCCTTTGATCGATACCGAATTTAGGTTTTGAATTTGAATAACATGAATAAAAAATAATATAACCTAGAAAATGCTTTATAAATGACAATGAGTATATAATTATACAAATGAGATCTTTCAGAGCACCGTGTTTGAGAAAAATATGCCAAAAAGTGCATTTTCATATTAACATTTCAAAAAAGTTGATATTTAGTTTCTAGTAACACTTGCGACCCGTTTACTAACGTTTTTGTATATAAATAAAACTGCAAACAAAACTACTTACCACAATTTAATCATAATTAAATAATATTCACGTAAAACATGCTATTAAACGTAATTGAACATCATCTGTCAAAATCGTTTGACATTTCATGTATTAGCCACCGTCCATAGTTTTATTTAATTTTCGCTTCTACAAAAATTTTCAAATTGAAAATGTAAAGATTCTACGCGGATTTGAAATAATTTCTCACCTTTTGAACCTTCTCTAGATTGGCACGAATTTTTCAAGACTAAGACTGGCCAAATCGGTTTAGCCGTTTCCGAGTTTTACTTGGACATTTGAAAGAGAGCTCCATTTTTATATATAAGATTACTCAATGAATGAAATATATTTTTAGTAAAATTTGACTCAAATCGACATGAAATCCGCATTCCCAGTTCATTGAAGAAGTGCAATTCTTTTCAATTATACAAGCAATAGAAACGTGACATTTAATTCGAAAAATCTTAGTGGAGAATTGAAAATGATTTGTGCGATTTCTTAATGAACATTAATCCGTATATGGTAAATCTTATTTTAGAGAGACAAATTGTTGATGTGACTGTTGATATAAGCTTGAATCAAGGAAGCAGTTAAAAACTGCCGAGCAAGAGAATATTACAAAGTTATTCAAATCATTGCCTTAGCCTTAACGTAATTAATCAAAATGTACAAAAATTATAATTAATTTTTTTATATATTGAGAACTATTATGCAATATTCAATATCTTAAGTACAATAGATTCCATATTAAAATTAGTTGGTAATAAATTTAGTACCACATCTAACATTAACATACAACTTTTATAAATCGACCCGAGAATACATTATTGTAATTAATATAAACGTATATATTAATGTTAGATTTGATACTTCACTTATAACAAATTAATTTTAATATGGAATATGTAATACTTAAGATATTGCATATTACATAATAGTTTTCAACAATTTTTATTTTTCTTTATTTTGTCGCCTTGGAACGCATCCCCTACAATTCCATATATGGTAAAATGCCATCCTCTATTTGCGGATATTTTTACTCTTTTTTATGGAACGTGTCCCCGGCAAATAAGGAGGTTTTGCTGCATTTATAAGTCTGTTTAAAATATATCAATAGGAAATATGCCCAACTAAAGAGTTTGCACCTCTTAGTTGCTTAATTTCTTAGAGTAGTAAGCCTTCATTCTTCTCTCAAACTATACTGACAGTGACTATATCTGCGCAAATATGATTTAACTATTGGTGCATGGCATCAAGCCTTAAGAAAAATTGCTAGAACTTCCCCTACCAAAACATAAATGTTTACAAAAGCTTTAAAATTTTTTGAAAACTAAATAAAATAGATTTTTGATACTTGAAATTTTTGAAAAAAAAATGGACTTTTTGAAAATTTTCTTTTGAATTTGAATTTTTTCGAAAACAATCACGCTGATTAGCTGTTTTTGAGATGAAATATTGAAGCGCGTGAGCGTCGCGTCTAAACATTGGTACAAAATTTATAGGAATGTAAACAAAATTTGTAGTTACCCTTAAAATATCCATGAAATATCTGGTAATTTAATGTGCATATGTCTAATGATCGTATTTGACCGCCAAATGACATTTTTTTCACTTTTTTCTTTGTATCTACAAAACCGCTAGGCTTGCCTAAAAATTTAATCAGTTCTTCACTTCGTCGTCACAAGTAAAATGTTTTTTGAATCATTCCAATTTGAATTCATTCCATTCTCTCAAA